CAGGGATAATAGGATAGATCTTGGACGCCGATGGAAAATAAATGTGCAACCCGACAGAAAGCATCTTCAACTGCGGAACCGCCCCTCCTTATCTGTTCCAATGCTTCCGTCCCAGAGATGTCGCGTCAAAAAACGCGATGGCAGTATAATTGTACCTATAAAGGAGGAATGCACTCAAGAAAGGGTAAACAGGTAAGGGAGATGGCCCAGACGAATTCCAAGTAAAATTGTTGCAGAATATGCCTCAAACTGGACTAAAGGTATTCGCAGAGACCATCCGGAAGATTTAGTGAAAATGATTAGCAATAATTATTGCAATACATCGAAAAGGTATGATTTCTGATGATCAGAATTACAGAAAACTTCCTCGCCTTTGCGAAGCCCTGAAGGCCACCAGAAGAATTATCGCCAGGAGAATCGAGCCTTGCAGAGAAAAAACTACCAGCGAAAATACAAAACTTTCCACTGAAACGATCCACAACTGACCAAAATTCTGGCACTGCGCCTTCTGCTGGAAACGTACAATAGATACTACATACTACTCTTCGTCAGTTTTTTCGTTTATGAAACAGCTTTAAGTTTCCTAGGCCACGAAATTCCGTCTGAATTGCTAAAGATGGCCGTAAGCCAGAAAAGTTCATATCTTTAAGAACAAGCACATTAGCAAAACACCGATTGTCAGATCTCATTGAACAGTTTCAGACGGTTTTTGTGCAAACAGCAGAGTATGTAACATATCAGTAACGGGACAACTACTGCTTAACTACTCTACTGACACTAATGATGGAGGAGGTTAAGAACTCTGATAACGAAGTAGCTCCAGTTATCAGGATGCCGCTACTGTATCTAAACTATGCTGGATAACACCACTGTCATGGGAACAAAGTCGAAAGAACTGTAAAAAAGCAGCGTGAGTCACACAAATGGCCAGCGCCGAGTATGCCTAAGATTAAACCAATCGAAGCATATCGTGGTCCGTACTCCCTGGTATGCCCGATAGGATGTGAATAACATGAGGATTTACGCAAATTTGCAGTACGTTAAATAGATCAGGAACGTTTGACCCATGAACACCAACGACGAGAGTGGCGATGCAGATGTTAAAAAGATAATTAGGAAAATCCGAAAAGCTTACAATATGCAGCAGCACAATTTGTAGAAAACGTCATCAGTGTATCAGTGAAATTTCTGCCGCAATTCACTGCGAAGAGATTGGAAAGCGCATGTGACTGAAAAACAATAATTCGCTGTGGGCTAAACTCATTACTGGAAAGACAAAGACAGGCACACAGTTTCATAACTTCAAAATACTAAGCATTAATTAGAAGCAAAGCTGATAATGAGGATTAACTCGCAATCATACGGATCATTGCAAATGGCAGAAAGACTGGCAAACAATGATAAAGAACACAGAAATGGCATAAGTATTCAATAAGCCGTCATAAAGTGTAAACAACGTACTAGTAGTCTAAATAGCATTAACAATATTACAGTAAATACTGGTAGTACTACAAGTGATATAGTACTTTAATATTTAATGTATTTTGATGAGTAATGTATCCAACAAAATGTTGTTACGAGATATATAGATCCTGTAAAATAAAAGTGAGATGAACTTTGATACCAGATACCATCTCCGCTAAATTTAAACGCCATTTTGTGAGCACGATATGTTTTTACGGTATCACAGTAGCTTCATTATGTGAGCTGCGTACAAAAGTTGTCAACTTGATTCAGATCATTCATCAATAAACTTACAACTGAAAAGCAAAACAAAGTCGTGGGGCGATACATCAGCCAAAACCTGAACGGAATCTGCTGTGATATTCAATTAATGTAGTGTCTTAATCTTTTATTCATCATGAACAAGTTAGTGAATAGTAAGTTTACATGAACTCTATAAATGTTTGCTTGTTACTGTACGTTGTGTAAACCCAATTCTTAGATACGCTAAAAATCTGTTCGATTAAATTAAAAAACGGTTGAAGCTGCCTCAAGGATTCTCTAAAGTTTGTTATGAAACCATACATACTCATGGGAAAAGTCATGAATCCATTCCACTCCATTCACTACTGACTTGCAAAATTAGAGGACATAACTTCTTTCCAAACATGTGCATAAACTTGGCTCTAATGTAAGAAGCAATTACACAATTCATAAACAAAATTAGATTGCAAGGATCCTGGATTCAATAAGCCTGTGAAGGATGCTCTGAATTCTGTTAATTTTATAAGATACTGTAGGCTCAATCATGGGCAGTTGAAATCCCTTCTCAATGCAGCCGAATAATGCGACACATTCTGCCACTCTAAAATACGATGATCAAGTAAATAAGGTTTTGGACAGATTTATGATGGTCGGAACAGGTAAACGATTTCTCAGTCAAAGGAAAATGTGAGTTATGACGAATGCATTAAAAAGTTAAGCGAGTACCAGTACGGCAATCTTTTCGGTTGATAATTGTGCATACAGCCATGAAAAGGATCTCTAACCGTAGAGAAATACATCATATGCCAGGCCTTTCCAACTACATGGCAGATTTTCGGGTCAAATAGGCGCCATTTCACTTTCAGCCTCTGAACAATAGTGCTGATCATTTTTCTTATTGCAGAACACGTTACTACTACACAAACTGAGACAATCTGTTAGTAAGCCCATCAGATCGAAAGGATGCAACATTCTCTAAACGGGACACAACTGTTCAAAATATCTTATATATACGTATGCCACATGATATACGTTTCGCAATGATTTTCCAGTCGTGAACGCCCAAATGATGAACGTTGTGAAAAATGTTCTTTTCTTTCCAATTTCTGAGGCCATCGTTGCAGCGCATCTGGATCTAATTCTGGCCTAATAGATGAATCGGCCTCCTCTGTTCAGTAAGGATATCAAATGATGAACCTTTATCTATGCCTTCTTTTGAATATTGACGACTAATTCGAATTACTATGAAGGTCGCCCGCAATTCTTTTGTTCAATAGCAACCAGCGGTATTCGTGATATAACTCACAAGGAAACTATGCACTGAATTTAAAACAAAGTATATATGTCACAACTGAACTTAGACGCATACCTTTCATTTGCGGTTTAACGTAAATTCACGAGGGCCTGAAGGTCGTTAATTCAGAAGTACTAACTGCAATAAATTGCATTTCTTGTTGGAGTGCCACCTAACTAAAACCTTACCAAACTGTCCGCCACGTACGAGCTTTCACTGAGAAAATCTTGTTGGTAAAAACGGAATGATGTACAAGTTAATGATGGCACACACTGAAAAAAGTCGGCCAACATCCTAACCCTGATTACGCTGATGTTTATCTAACACAGGCTGAAAACGCTTTATCATCTTCCTGCATTAACAACGAAGTCAAAAACCGGTAACAATGAAAGCTTGTCTTCCAAATAGGGGCAACTAAACCTAGTTAGTCCCTTTCAGATTTTGATACATGGCTGAAGCGGCGCAAGCACCGTCTCCTTGCTTCTAGTCGCCTAGAGGACCATTTAAGCAGGCCAGGGCTCCATGGTATTTGAACAATTGCAGTGCATGGATGCAAACCGCATCACTAGGCAGGGCTGAACAAAGGTCTGTTCAGACACCTGCAAATATGATACGATCCGTAGGCATATTTCGACACAAAAATAAAACCCGAACTAGCACACTGCTAGTAAACACAAAAGGTCAGGTTTTACTTTTATGTAAAAACCTAGTTAGACCCATTAAGTTAGCTACTTTGTCAGGCAATACTGTTAAGGACTTTGCTCTGCATTTAACAATGGTCGGTCACTTTCTGAATCTGAGCTAAACAGTCTAACCAA